GAGGTGGGAGGGTCTGGAAGGGAGGGTCTGCTGCTAATTTGCTGGAATGTGTCTGCTGACCGTGAGGCACAGGGTCAAAGTTTGCTCAATGATGACGAATAGGGGGCGGATCAAACCGCGCATGTGTTCGCCCGCGGTGGGCGTGTATGTGTGTATATACACACACACACATATATATATATACACACACATATATATATATATAACACGCTATGTTCGCCGGGAACTATTCGCCAGCGAACAGTTCGGTGCATCACTAGTGATCGATTCCCATAAAGCGAAGTGAGGACAGGCTATGTCCCATCTCAAGGAAATGCCGGGCGACTGGAGTGCTTGCAGTGCCGCTACACATAGGGTTAACTTTAATTTATTACGTAATTTAAACATGTTTATGTCATTAATGACATCACTCTGATCCGTTGTTACATTTCACCTGTTCACCTCCAAATAGGATCACTGCATTTTTTGTATATAAGGTATCCATCTCACATACACAATTGTCTTGAAAAAAGTATTTTACAGACTGAAACGTCGACTGGAATGTTGTGTGAATTTGTAATTGCTCAATAAAGCAACAGATGAAATTTACCTTGAAAGACTCCTGAGTGCTCTCTACTGGTATTGTATACAATTTGGTTGGAGACAGCACCGGAGCATTAAAAGACCGGGAGCATTGAGTGCTGGGACCTGGGACGTATATATGCATATATATAGAAATATATAAAACAGAAAAAAAATCCTTCACTCCAACCAAAATGAAAAAGTGATATCTGTTGCTTTGGTCGCTATAACAACATACCCAAACAAAATACCGGCACTCTATGAATTTCAAATTTTGGATATTCTTTTATTCCAGAACCGACGTTGGTTCTGGAATAAAAGAATATCTAATATTTGCAATTTCTAGTGTGACGTTATTTTTTTGGGATATATTTATATATTATTATTTTTTTAATTTTTTCATTCCTGACAGCCGCTATCTCTCTCTCTCTCTCTCTCTCTCTCTATATATATATATATATATATATATATATATAGTGAGAGAGAGAGAGAGAGAGGCTGTCAGGAAGAAAAAAATATATATGTAGAAAGATATATATATATCTAAATCCTAAAAAAATAACGTCACTTTCAATTTCAAATCCAATCTTTCCAATCTTAGATATTATTTTATTACAGATGTTATATACATTTATAGATATCTGTGTTTGTGTGTGTGTGTGTGTATATATATATATATAGAGAGAGAGAGAGAGAGAGAGAGAGACATCATATATCTATTAATACATAGATATCATATATCTCTTTATAGATATCTTTAGATTTATTGATATCTATCTAAAAGGTATTACAAGATACAAATTTTATCTGTTTTACATATATATATATATATATATATATATATATATATATGAGAGAGAGAGAGAGATGGAGAGATGTTTGTGTGTATATATACACTCACACTCTAACACACTTAAACATTCTTATATGTATCTCAAAGACAGAGTAATAAAAACTAATAAAAATAACATCACCATTAAAAAGCTTTTTGTGTGTATATACACACACACACATATATATATATACACACACATATATATATATATATATATTTATATATATATATACATACATACATACATACACAAACACATATATATACATACATACACACGATTGCACACAGGCTCTATATATAATTCTGGTGCTTGCAGTCCATGGAAAATTTTAAACATAAATTGTACAGCTGACCAGCACTCAAGGTTATAGTGAAGCTTAAAAGACTCATATTAAAAGGTGGATAGATGTGTCAGTCCAGGTCTGTGACGTTCATCAGGAACCTGTTTAATATGAGTCTTCAATAAAGTTTACAAATTTTAATCTTCAGTAAAACATTGAGTGCTGGTCCTCTGTACAATTTATGTATAATATTTTCCCTGGACTGCATGCACCCGAATTATATATTGCAATTGTGTGTGTGTGTGTGTGTGTATATATATATATTTCTTATTTATATATTTTTTGGTAAAAAATGTATAAGTGTATGTGTATTACACTGTCCATCCTTCTGAGGTACAAGGGGGATACTTCGACGCTCTGGGTCCACTTGCGTCCCCGTTATTTACCTCAAAGAGGAGTGGCAGCACTCCACCATCTTGCATGGCCAGCACCAAATCTGTGTCTCCATGCATATCACACTTTACCACCGTTAATTCTACAGTTATTTTTCCTTCACCCATGTTGATTTGCAAGGGAAATGTCTGGTTGTGCAAGTTCACCTTGCATCTCAACATGTTATCTCTCCCACCCTGATACTATCAGTCAGTCTCCAAACTGTCTGGCTCTAGCATAATGACATTGAAAAAATTTCACTATTAGACGCTATCTTATCTTCAATTTAATTAAAAATTTACAATGAATAGACTTTACTTCCCCCATCCATGTAGATTTGCAAGAGAAATGTCTGGTTTTAAAAATGTAACCTTTCATTGCCCTTTGCATGTCATCAGGATATCTCTACACTTCCAATTCTTCCCCCCACACACTCACTAATTACTAACAATCTACAAACTATCTGTCCCTAACATGAGTTCAATAAAAACTTTTCCCTTTCATGAAACAATCTTATCTTCTATATATTTTGAAAAGATTTAAAAAAAAAAAAAAAGTCTTTGCTACTCATGAGAAGGTGGTATGCTTGGAAGCTCTGGGTCCACCTTTCATCTCCATTTTTCATCCTCTTTTGGTAGCTTCTCCTTTACACCATCTTGTATGGCCAGCATCAACTTATCTGGCCCTGCATGTGGTGTGTGCTGGAACACAATTCCATGTGCTACTCACCCACCTTTAAAGGGACGCTATAGTCGCCCAGAACAATTCAGATCAATGAAGTGTTGTGGGTGCCAGGCCACTCAGGTTTTAACCCATTCATATGTAAACATAGCAGTTACAGAGAAACTGCTATGTTTACATAGCAGGGTTAATACAACCTCTAGTGCATGTCTTCCTGACAGCTGCTAGACATTTAACTGCGACGATGGATGTGAATTTTGCATCCATCGCGCAGAGCATCCATAGGAAAGCATTTAGAAATGCTTTCCTATGGACTGTTACAATGCGCGCGCACGACACTTGCAGGGCATGCGCATTACGCACCACTCATGAGCTGACTTCAGTGGGGTAGGAGAGATAACGAGCGCCGAGGGAGCCCGGCGCTGGATTTAACTAAGCTGTTGAAGTGGTTTTAACACTTTCAGCACCACGGGAGGTGGACCCTGACGGAGATGTTCCACCAAAGATTATATAGTGTCATGAAAACAGCTTTGTTTTACAGACACTACAGTGATCCTCTAATTAACTTTATTAAAGGACCACTCTAGGCACCCATACCACTTCAGCTTAATGAAGTGGTCTGTGTGCCAGGTCCCTCTAGGAGTAACCCTTTCTTTTATATCAACATAGCAGTTTCGGAGAAACTGCTATGTTTATAAATGGGTAAATCCAGCCTCCAAATCCTCTAGTGGCTGTCTCATTGACAGCCGCTAGAGGCGCTTGCGTGCTTCTCACTGTGAAAATCACAGTGAGAAGAGGCAAGCGTCCATATGAAAGCATTGGAAATGCTTTCCTATGAGACAGGCTGAATGCGCGCGCAGCTCTTGCCGCGCATGCGCATTCAGACAAAGAGGATGATCGGAGGCGGAGAGGAGAGCTCCACGCCCGGCGCTGGAAAAAAGATAAGTTTAACCCCTTTCCTCGCCATCCAGCCCGGCGGGAGGGGGACCTTGAGGGTGGGGGCACCCTCAAGGCACTATAGTGCCAGGAAAACGAGAGTTTTCCAG